TATGATATGCTTCTTTTTGAGGCTTAATATGCTAAGTTCTAACAATGACAAAATTATAAATTCCTGAATAAAATAAACTTCATATCTGAGATGCCGATGTAATACTATTAATAATCAGATTACTAATACTATTATCATCCCTGATGCTAGAAAGATATGAAAGTGTCATTTCTAAATTTTAGAACAGTCTGCCTTCTAGGTAACTAAAGGAGTTAACACCAATTTTGTTTACTTGACCTGACTTTAATAGCAGATAAAGTTATCCCCATAGTGCTATTGCATCTGTACAGCAGAAAAAAAAATTACTGGAAATATATCTCATCACCCTAAGCTTAATTGAGAGCCAGTCTCTTCTATTACAAAAAACTCTGTATGTGTGTATGTAAAACAGAAAAAGCATTTGATGACATATTGTAGCTTTCTTATGTTAAACATTTTTTTATTCTAGTAACATATCTGAGTAATTGAAATAACTTCACCATACAGATATCACATGCTGGAGCATGACAATGCAATGCTAATTGCACACTGTGTCGACATTTCAAGCATATTTTCTATAACAACATTTGCATTCATATACAGGTAGTAAAGCACATGGGGATAATTTGAGTCACGAGTCATGTTAGCAAATGTATTGCTTTCAAGCTAATCCTCAAACCTGGAATCTTCAGCAAATCCATTAATATTCAGATGTTGTAGCATGTACAGTAGTTATTGTATGAACCAAACAGCTAAGAACCAAGAATTATTGTTAGTCTTTGAAACAGAAATAACAATGTTACTGGATTACTTTTGTAAGGTAAGCCTTCATACTAATTTAGGAACTATTAGTCTATTGATTGATGTCTCTACCAATAGCTTTCAAGTTAGCAGGTGGGGATAAAATGAAAGCTTTTTGTAGCTCTTCTTAGATAATACAGCCCAGTTAATGGAGAATGTGTTACCTGAGTTATTTTCCTTCGATATTCCATACACTCATTTATGAAAAGGCAAAAAACCCACAAAAACACCAAAAAAGGGCAGCAATCTCAAAGTGTGCAATAAATTTTAATATACCAATTTTGGTTGCACGACTGTTATCTGTAGCCATGTATCTTGCTTTATATGGATCTGGCCAATTAATGCTCTTTCAGACATAGACTGCAACGTGGTTCTTAAAAATCTCAGCAGACAAACTGAACTTGATCCAGAAACATACTTTATCTATGTTTTATTGTCACTGAGGCAAAACCACATCACTATAAAATGCAAGAAAAACCAATGTTCAAAAGGCAGGAATTCTCTTTTCTTGACTTTGTCCACACAAGGGTCAAACCTTCAAAGGGAACTCTGAACTAAAAAAAAAAAAAAAAAAAAAACTAGTAAAGAAAGAAAGAGAAAGCAGTATAAGGAATCAAATTTTCATCATGAATAATTTTTAAATTTATAATTTATTTCTAAGTCAACATTAACCAAAAATATTGAGATAACTAATATGGAAACTTAAATTTCTTAATTTAAAAAGAAAAGCAAATTTTCAAAAAATCATGAGGTCACAGGAACACAATTAATTATACAGTTATACTTTTTATTGTTTAATCCTTAGAACCAATTAAATTAGGACTCAAAATGTAAATTAGCAATACAGAACAGAAAAGGAAAGTATTTTCTGTCACTCTTGAGGTATTTGCTATTATTTTGTTAAGAACATACATTTAAGAATGAATTAGCGCTTTATAGAAAATCAAATAGTGGTGTTTATGCAGCTATCAACTTTTTGGTACTTTTGAAAAAGTCGAGTAATGTATACATTTAGAATTAAAAGAATTTTTAAACAGAATTACTTTGACATGCTAAAGAAGAAAGTATTTGAATTAATTTATATTAAAACATCTGAAAGTTCAAGTTAGATAACAAAATTCCATACTCATATACTTTACAAATTAAAAAGAGAATTAAAATAAAACGCTTTTCTCGATGTCTAGAAGCCACTATTAACCAGTCATGTATACATATTAGACAGAAAGAAGGTTGGGTTTTTTGGTTTGGGCTTGGTTTGGTTTTAGTTTTAGGGAGGAGGAACTAGTTAAAACTTTTTGTGTACTTAGACCTAATATTGACGTATGATAACATTTATATAGATCTTTACATTTTATAGATAACCAAGGATATTCAACTTTGTTCTAAGCAGAGGTTACCACTTTGCCATTTCCATATTTGATTCTGTTACAACTTCATTTTTATATACACAAGGTAAATGAAATGCTAGTAAAATAAAATTTGTTGCTAGTATAATTAATCAAAATATGAATCACAACAGTTCCTTCAACAGATTACATAAAGCAAATGGTAACTAGTCTACGATGCTGGATTATTCAAGGGAAAACTAATTTGCACTCTCAGACTATGTTTGTAGGTGATGATTTAAAATAAAAAGGTTGTTTCTTAGGCAATTCTGGAAATTATTCCAATCTCATAGAGTTCTGAAAAGCATTCCAATCTTAGATTTACTAAATGAGCAGGGATATGTTTTTCTATAACAGGATGAAAATACGCTTTCATTGTAAGTAAACTGAATTCCCTATTAAAACCTCTGGTAAGATTAAGTAGCTTCTGGGTTTTTTTAGATAAAGCTATTTTTTCTCCTAGAAGAGAGAGAATCAGATCTATACTATCACTTATGCTGATATTTTTAACCCTATGAATAAAAAATTTATAATAAAAAATAAGGAATATTTTATACCTCTAAAACATTTCTGTGGCCTCTTGGTACTTCCATGATTTATTGTATCTTTTCTTCTTAGTTGCTCATTAGGGAATAGCACTTCAGCAGACATAGTCCACAGCATACCAGCTGGTATATATAATGAGCACATGGCTTTTATTCACAACTTCATCATATCAGACTAGATCAGTACAAATAAGCAAATGTGGGCAATAATATTCTAGTATTCAAAAATAAGGCCAGACTTAAGTAGCTAGAGAAATGAAATTTGTTCTTCAATTGATTGGTTAGTTTCATACATTTAAATTACTCTTAGTTTTAAAAGTTTGTGTTTGTGTGGGGTTTTTTTCCCCTGGGGGGAGGGTTCTTATTGGACATTCTTATTTTTGTTTTAAATAAAAATTTCAACCTTATATAAGTAAGGACAAAAGATCCAAAGCATACACTCTACCAAATTAAGTAACTATTTCTAATTTTAAGGTAATGCAAATGAGTGGCCAATAAACTGGATAGATATCTTATACAGACACTTAAAAGTTATGTCTCCTTTGTAGTCAAATCATAAGTTTTCAAAATAATGCCTAAAGATTCTCCATGAAAAGATTTACCTGTTGATTGTTCTTACAGTGATTTTGCAATATCTCAATTTTTGCATTATTTATTCTAAGAAATCTATAACATATTTCAGAATTCACAAAATGGAGTCCTGAATACTATACTATAATTTCCTTTATTCTCACATCTTTATCGTCTTCTTTCACAATAATAGCACATTCTTCTTTGGGATGCATCCAGCAAGGAAAAGTATCTACTGAAATGTGGATGTTTCATAGTCCTAATGAATAAAGTACCTGGCAATGATTTAGGAAAGAAACAAACTATTTTAGCCAAACACAGACTCAGAAGATGGCTTGAAAAGTGAAATATATCTAACTTACAACTCTGGGTTGCCAATGATCCAGGTTGTGATTTAATTCAGGCCAATTTGCCCCTCTCAGTCCTCCTTCTCCTCTGGGGCCATTTCTTGATTTACTGGAAATAGCTTTTAGGATAGTAAAAGGAGGTAAAACGTTCATGAATTTTAAAAATAATTAGCATCTGTGAGAAAATAAAACTGTTGGGGGAAGAAGTTTTAAAAAATTCTAAGAAGTGAATATTGCACTTTCTGAGGATTTCAATGCCAATGATAGGGTCATTTATATTTTTATGGAAAACTGAAAGCTCATTCATTGTTTTGAAAACCATATTCAAGAAAAGGAAGTATTGCTATGAAACTTATGCATAATAACTTTGGACAGGAAGAAAACTTCATACTCTATATTAAAAAAGAACCCTCAAGGGTACATCAAAGACTAGTAATATGTGGTAATTGGAATCTTTTATTCACAATCATTTATATTATTTTCTATGGTGCAATGAGAAACTACTGTATTAGACTTTGCAATGTTAAGTTGGTCTCAACCTTGAGTGATCTATAAAATAAGTGTGACTCATTATAACATCAAAATGAGTTCGAAACATCAGCTCTTCTGCAAAACAGAAAAATTGTATTTCACTGTATGTTAAACGCATCAGAGATTTACTTTCCAAATAAAAACAAGTGATATGAGACACAAAAACCATGCAGAAAGATTTTTGTCATTACCGTCATTTTCTGTTCCTTTATGTGACTCCCTATGAAAAGTAAACATGAAAGCTAGTTTACGTTTTATTTTTAACCCACTGGACTATCTTCCATTTTAGATCATAAGATGATCTTACCAGATCTTTACTGAACATGTATATTATTACAAGTAGCTAAATTTCCACATAAAGGAATAAAAATGTTGGAGAATCGGGTTATGAACTTTCTAGTACTTTACAGTGAGCTGTTGTAATGATAAACCCGTTTTATACTTAATCCTTCCATTGAGCAACACCAGGCTTCTAAATATTTTTTGTTTCATTTTAAATGGCTACTATAGATGAGAATTAATAAGGTATTATACTATTAACCCCTTTTCAAGTCAAAAGGCGTGACATCTAGAAAATAATTCAACACTGTAATGGGATCTTCAAGATCAATTGTTTTATATACTCTGCAGCAAAAATAACATTTCTAGTAGGAAGGAATTAATTATAAACCTAGCAAATTCTAGACATTCACATATTTGTGTAAACAATTTTAACGTGGTTTATTACATTTCCAGAAAGGTTAAGTCTTATATTAAGTTTTCTGCTAATTTTTTTTCATATATTATAATAAATATATACGTTATTTGGGTGCATGTGTGTATATATTATCACACACATATATATGTCTTATATACATAAAACAGCACTTCATGGTCATTTTCTTTGCATGTTCAACGTGAGGAAAAAAAATGACTTGCAATTATGCATAACTCATGGCGCTCTTCCCTTCTGTTTCACAAATGGCCATATCGGGATGTAAACAAAACATTGGAGCGAGTCATTCCAGGTGAATTGTATTTCAAGTTGTAGGTTGGTGTTCTCATGAAGAATTGGGTACTCCCTGGTAGCAAATACCTAAAAATGATAGTTAATAAATTAGATTTTTGCAAGCAAATTATTATTAACATCTCTCACTAAACGGTTATAGGGTTATAAATTTACATATTCTACATGAGAAACGTTACTATAACAATATAATTCATATAAAAAGATTTACTCCTCCAGACTGTGAGAGTGAAGGGGAGAGGAGTCATAGAGCCTCACCTAAAGAGTTGAAAATAGATGCAACATATGATAATAGTATCCCAAGACATCCCATAAAGAGCTATTGTACTGAAAAGCTGTGAAACTGTTTATGTGGCTAATGTAAATTTAGCATTTATCATCAGTCCCTGTAAGTAATGTTTGGGGCCAGTCAAATGTTTCTTAAAAACATGTGATATGAGGCCGGGCGCGGTGGCTCATGCCTGTAATCCTAGCACTCTGGGAGGCCGAGGCGGGCGGATTGTTTGAGCTCAGGAATTCGAAACCAGCCTGAGCAAGAGCGAGACCCCGTCTCTACTAAAAATAGAAAGAAATTAATTGGACAACTAAAAAATATATAGAAAAAATTAGTCGGGCATGGTGGCGCATGCCTGTCATCCCAGCTACTCGGGAGGCAGAGGCAGAAGGATTGCTTGAGCCCAGGAGTTTGAGGTTGCTGTGAGCTAGGCTGACGCCACGGCACTCTAGCCCAGGAAAAAGAGTGAGACTCTGTCTCAAAAACACAAAAAAAAATGTGATATGAGAATTTGACTAGCTACATTAACAATAATTGTGTTAAGGATGTTGAAATCACTGATTATAATTTAATATCATTGATACATTATGACTATAGGCAATCTAATAGAAAAAGTTAAAGATCAGCATTCATAACTAGATTATAAATTTTATATTCTTAGACTGTACAGTGCTTATGATTACAGAATATCAAAACCAATCATCATTACAGGTCATATATAACAAAATGTATTTGCAGACAAATGTATTTCAAAATATGTGATTTTTCCAGATTTTAGAAAGGCAGCATAGTGCATATACTATAAAATACCTCCATCAAGGCCTTAGAGCAAAATCTTATAAACAAATCACTAATATTTCTGTAGTAAAATGTATGCATATTCACAATAAATCAAATAGATAAAGACTATAAATAATTTTATGTCCATTCATGTCAGATTTGCAAAGTAATGTGTTACTTTTTTTCCCCAAAGTTTTGAAAATTAGGAATTGCAAATGAGAGATTGTGCACCTGTACAATATGTTTTCCTATGAGAAATCTTGAATAGCATTAGTCCAGTCCAATCTATATGACCAGTGAGGAATGGTCAAGGAAATCCATATGAACAAATGCAAATAGACAACACTATTCAAAGTATAAGTCCTGGTAATGATGAGAAGGACATGCTATAAAGTCAGGACAAAGATATTTATGAGGAATTCCTAAGAGCAGAAGTAGCAATAGAATGGTTTATAATTATCAGTGATCTTGGAAAAATTAACAATGGTAGAGCATCCTATCATTTATTTTACTTTTTTCACCTGACATTAGACTCCTCCAGTGACAGTATTATACTTCCAATGGGTACATGAAAAATTTGAGGTCCAAGGGCACTATTAACTATCTATTCTATGTTATATGATACTGATAACTATGACACCTCTATGTCAATGGAAAATTACGTTTATAGTTGTGTTATATGAATTTTGTAGAGAGAAAATAAATTCACTATAATCAAACTGCATACAGAAGTCAGATTAAAATGAGAGAATTTTTCATAATATCCATAAATATCATTTCATCATGAATTATCTGCTAATATCCTCTAAATCTATTACCTAATGTCACAAACCATAAATAATTGCTCAAATCATTAAGTTAATAGAGCAGTAAAATAATATACAACAAACCAAATTAAATCAAAATTGCATAATGGATGATGAATAATGAAACAATTGATTTCTCACATCACAGATTATATAAATTATTTTCTTAATATCACTCAAGTAATTTATATGGATTAATTATTATGTCAAGAGTTGGTAGAGTCATGATGATTAATCTGATATCTTCTGCAATGAAAAGGCTACCCTTCCTACCTAGGGCAAAGGTGCAAAAGAAATTAAGGTGCTTGATCCAAACTCACTATTCTGTATTAGTTGAGAGTTATTCTACCTTCTGTTGAAGATATATTCTTATTGCACTGATAATTACACAGTAAATAGTAACTTCTACCAACTTTATTTCAAAGACTTTCCAAGCAATTGTTACTTATTGGCATTTCAATAACATTCACGTAAATTTCTGAAATAAAGATCTCCATTTTGCACATGAAAAAAACAAAAGCATGAAAGCTAGGACCACCATTAGCTTACACTACTTTACTGAACAAATATTTAAATAGTGGTTTCCATGTGCACAGCACTATTCTAATTGCTTTACAAATATTAACTCATTTAGTTCTCATAACAATTCTATATGGTATATATTATTGTTAGCTCCATGTTACAGATTAATACATTTCATGAGGCACATGGGGGTCAAGTGCCTTTCCCAGGGTCACAAAGCTACTAAATGGCAGAGCTGGGGTTGGGTGCAGTGGCTCACGCCTATAATCCTAGCACTCTGGGAGGCCGAGATGGGTGGATCGTTTGAGCTCAGGAGTTCAAGGCCAGCCTGAGCAAGAGCGAGACCCCATCTCTACTAAAAAAATAGAAAGAAATTAGCTGGACAACTAAAAAAATATAGAAAAATTAGCCGGGCATGGTGGCGCATGCCTGTAGTCCCAGCTACTTGGGAGGCTGAGGCAGGAGGATTGCTCGAGCCCAGGAGTTTGAGGTTGCTGTGAGCTGATGCCACGGCACTCTAGCCCAGGCAACAGAGTGACACTCTATCTCAAAAAAAAACAAAAACAAATGGCAGAGCTGGGATTCAAATCAATGCAGGCTAACACCAGTGCTCCTACCAACCATACTATATTGTCATGATAATTTCACACAATTGTCATTGTATATGAAGAATGTCAATTTTAAAACTAATGGGTACAATTATTATATTTGTCTTTTCAGAAATGTGAAGTATAAAATAGCCTATAAAGTGGAAAAATATTACACATGCCACAAACCTAAATTTTAATAGAAGCAGAAAATGTCAAGATGAAACTTTTTTTGAGACTTAAAAAGGAAAAGAAGTTTAGCGTGAACTAAAAAAGCATATGAAATTACATTGGAAGAAACACTTTGTTTCTCTAATGCAAGTGCTGTGGGATATTTTAAAGTGTTACAGGGGAATACAATGTAGTATTTGCCTTAATATCTCCATTAATATCTCTTGGGAGATCCCACACTAGCTGAACATCAAAGATTATTTTGAAATGTTCTTTGCAATGAAGTTAAATAATTTGATTTTTTTAAGCAGGAAGACTATCTCAAGGAAATGGATTTATAGACTATATCTAAAGAGTTTGTGTAAAGCACCAAAAAATATGAAAAGTTTACAATTTTATTTTTTTTTCTAGCTTATTCTTGATGTAGAAAAATAGCTCTGTCATAGCTAACTCGTGCCAAGGAGAAATATCTCAGCCTACCCTATCTCCATTGGCTTCACACACAGAGCCTCACTCCCCATCCCTAAGGCAGGCTGTGCACATCTTCACATATCCATCACACAGCCATAGAACACGCATTGTGTAATGCCCAATTGACGTAGAATCATTTGGCCTTTTATGTACGAACTTATTGCTGACTATGGAGGGTCTCTAGAACATGAAACATTTCAAGACTGGTAGGGAATTAACTTTGAAAACATAAACTACACCCAACTTCTGGGATCTTCCTAGAGTAAGACCAGGACCCCTGATCCGCCCAGAATAAGCTCAGGTTCACAGTTTGGGGGATCAGGATAAATAAAGGTCAACAGCATATTTGTCTCAAGTTTTTAAAAAATTTTTTTTTATTGTAGTAAAATGTATAACATAAAATTAACTAGCTTTTACCATTTTTAGGTGTACAATTCAGTGCATTAAGTATATTCACAATGTTGTGTAACCATCACCACCAATTACAAAACTCTTTCGTCATCCCAAACAGAAACTCTTTACCCATTCAATACTAAATTCCCGTTTTCCCTTCCTTCCTATGCCTGGTAACATCTATTCACTTTCTGTCTCTATAAATTTGCCTATTCTATACACCTCTTATAAATGGAATCACAGTATTTGTCCATTTGTGTCTGGCTTATTTAACATGTTTTCAAGGTTCATCCACGTTGAAGCATGTATCAGAACTTCAGTCTGTTTCATAACTGAATAATATTCCATTATATGTGCCTACCACACTTTGTTTATTCATTCACTTGTTGATGAACACTTGGGTTGTTTCTATCTTTTGGCTATCATAAATAATGCCGCTGTGAACATTGGTGTACAAGTATTTGTTTGAGACCTTGTTTTTAGTTCTTTTGAGTATCTACTTAGGAGTAGAATTGCTGGGTCATATTGATAACTCTCTATTTAATTTTTTGAGAAATTCCCAAACTGTTTTCCACAGTGGCCACACCATTTAACATTCTCACCAGCAATGTATGAGAGTTCCAACTTCTTCATATTCTTGCCAACACTCATTATTTTTCACTTTTTTGACAACAGACATCCTAGTGGATGTGCATTGTCTCGTGGTTTTCACTTTGATTGGGGGGCGGGGTGGGAATCCCTGTTTTCAAGTTTCACCTTTGCCATATGCTACCAATATGGATTTGGATAAGCCACTTAACCTCTTTGGGCCTCAGTTTTCTCCGCTACGAAAAAAGTCCACTTGTTTCTGCCATGTCTGACTCACAGAGCACGGGGCCAATGAAACAGTATATGAATGAAGTATTATAATTCATGTACTATGAACATCAGCCTCACTGGCAAGAATATCCCTGTTCTGAAATAGATATATCGAACTATAAAGCATAACTTCTTCCTTCAGAGTAACCAGGAAGACGCCACCTATTTTGTCTACTTACAAAAGCTACAAGATCAAATCAGCAGAAATTGGCTTATGAAATCTGGAGTTTGAATGAATTCCTTCCTAGACTGGAACTCAAGGTTTTCCTGATCATGATTCCAGAGTATCACCCCTTAAAGAGAAGGCTCTTCATTTATATGCTGTAATGTCTAAAAAATGGCCTTCATTGTTTTAAATCATGTGGAAATGTTAATGAAGGTATTTGAAGTTTTATTTTAATATTTTGCTTCAGTCAATACATTCAAATTGTAGAATATAACTTGATATTTACATATTTTAAATATTAATGGTTAACTTTACCTCTGCTATTGTTGTAATCATTGGCTTCTATTTGCCGAAGAGTTAAAATAGGCCAAAGGTCCTACAATAGTACAATGACAGAATCTAAGACAAAGATTAAAAATATATCTCAATAATTTCTCTGAAAAATATTCTGAGCCATTCTGCTGTTGCAGTTCACTTCTGTAGAACGTTACCCTTATTATACTCCCTGAGATCCTCTTAATAAACAGATTAATTTCTAGGTGTTTCAAAAAGGAAATCCAAGCTATAGTGGTTCTGTTTTCCTCACTGTTTATTCAACTATTCACTGACACTTTTGACTATCAGTTAGTTTTTCAAAGTCATGGCTTAATTTTTTTTTATCCTGAATAGCACTACAACTTGCAAATACTAACACTACAGTTACATATTCATCTTTATTTCTAAAGAAAACTACAGTTGTTGTTTTGAGAAATGCTAAAAGGTACTTCTTACTTTCAGTATTTTTGCAGCTTATAAACAATACAGTTTCTCATGGCTTTTGGAAAACTATCTATTTTAACTGGACAACATTTATAAAACTCAGTTTTTAAATAGAACGTGGCAAAAATTCACCTCCTACATACTTATTTAGTAGAGGCATACTGAACAATAAAAATTAAACCAAAGGCATCTTTCTGACCATAGTCGGCTCAAGGATAAATGCCGAAATATCCCCACTGGGGAACAAAAGTTAAATGTATCGCCACATTTTTAGGTGTTCTTATTCTTGGCTTTTGAAAACAAAAGTATAAAAGTCCAATAATCTCATTTCCGTCTATGTCCTGTCACCATTAGGTTCATGATTGCAGTCCTTGTTCGGTCTCTTAAAAGTAAAGACTGTGCTAATTAAAAATATTTTGTAGATAATATCATGTATGAATTTTTAGTCTTTAGCTTTTTTGCTAACCATATAAGCAAAAAACGACTCAATTTCAAACTGCATTTTGGCATTACTTTATATGAAACTCACAGGAGCTAGAGAATGTGAACAAGTACCTGGAATTACCCCAGTCAGGACCAATGCCTGAAAGTGATCCTCTTGTGTCAGTTGCATATTTGTAAACCACTAGCAGGCACTGTTTACAAAGCTCGACCAGGCGCTGGCAACACTGGAGCTGCAAAGGAGTCACCACCTCCGGGCTTTTACTGAATATACTCTCCCAAGAGGATCTGTTGGCATGGAAACAGACATGGCCTCACGTTCGTGTTCGGTGTAAAAATGGCAACCAGCTATATCACTTACCTAGCAACAAACCAATAAGGGAGAATAGAAATGGCCTGCAATAACTGTGAATAATTGAAAGGTATATACAATAAATACAAATTAGGAAATTGATCTTTACATTTAAAAAATACAACATTGAATCCATATACTATTTACCCTTTTTTCTTTAGTGATGGGGAGTGTCTCTGTGTTGCCCAGGCTGGAGTGCAGTGGCTATTCACAGGTGCAGTCATAGCACACTGCAACTCCTACTCCTAGGCTTAGGCAATCCTCCAGCTTCAGCCTCCCAAATAGCTGGGACTCTAGGTTACTACAGGGACAAGCCACCACACTCAGCACGATTTGTCTTTAACGCTTTTAATGCTACCAACTGTGTGGGTGGCTGAGAGGATGGTTTTCCAACACCTCCTATAAAATGGAGTCATGCAATATTAAAGTATTTGTAAAATACTGAGCTAATTTCTCAAAAAGTAAGCGTTCTAGGAATTTAGGTTTTCTAGGAATCTGTATTTACCTTAACATTAATAATGATCCTACAAAAGGATCAAAAAGTTGCTGCAACTTAATTTGTGACCTCTCTGCACTAGAAGAGTTTAGGTTAATCCCTTGATTACAGCCATCCCTTCAAATACACTTTTAGACATAATTACATCCATGATATTCCTAGAACACAGATTCTATACTCTAGAAGTAATGTTACCTTAGCAAGTACTACCCTATTGCATTCCGAAAGGTAGTATCCTTCCTCCTTCGGCACACTCAGCTTTGTCCAAAGCAGGTAATAGGGTATACTTCCTTGGTAAATGGCAATTTGTGTGTGAACAATTCCTAAGGTACCAGATGGTTTAAATCGGGAAACACCTCACCAGCCCTCCACCAGAGAGACAGAGAGAAAAAGAGAGAGAGGGGGACTGACTTATTTCTTAGTGTAAATGAAACTCTTTTCAAGCCTTGAGGGGAAAGTTTGGTTTGAGATTTGGTAATGGTTCAAGTCTCATTTTACATAAACCAACTCACATAACCCTCAGAGAGAAAAGAGTAGACTTTTAGAAAGGAAAAAATATTAAGGAAAATATTTTCCTGAGGAAATGTACTTCCCAATGGGAAATTCAAAGACTCCATTTTCAACCTTCTGTGGATATTTGATATATTTGGAATTTTAAAAAATGCTTTAGAAACTCTGAAAGGTATTTTTTTACTAGAAAAGCTACTGTTTATCTTTTCAGGAGAAACATGGTCCCAAACAGACAGCATGTTATCAGTGAATGACAGGTTTTCTTAAAGGAATAAGATTCAAATGAGTTAACTGAAAGAAACAAATTTTCTTCAGTGTTCTGAGATGTTCGGGACTAAATATAATAGACTAATATAATACTGAGGTTTTTAAATTAACAAAGGAGTAAAAGTTGTTTTCATTCAAGAAACAGTAATGTGCTAGTTAAATTAACTCTAAAAATAAAATTTAAATTATTGTGAAGTATAAGAAAAACTTGATATGATATACATGTTTACCAAGATATATATATGCAGATATAAATATAAATCATATTACCTAATTTGATCAAGAAAAATGCTGGAGAAAATAAATTAATTAGGGAATATGTATATGATTAATATATCTTAATCTAGCAGGCCCTACATGTCTGGGAACAGAGTAATAAAAATTTCATATAAATGCAAATACACAAAGAAAACATCCTGTGTTTTTACTTTCTTCCTGCTGGGATTTTGGGTATGTCTACAAAAGTCTACCTCCATCACCACCCTCCACTCTGAACTTGGATATGTTTATTTTTTGATACTTTGGAGCCATTTCATTAGATCTACTGTCAGGTCACTCACATCGTGGTAATTTTTCTTTACCTAAATTGGGGTTTAGAGGTAGGAAAAGTACAAATAAAATGGAAGAAAGATAAAGAGATTTCTTCTATAACGCTCTAACTTGATGTAACTTTTTGAATAATATGTGAGTTATATTAAATATGACCAGCTTTGGCTTCTCATTCTTTCATTCTTTCTTAAATACTTAAAATAAATGTATGAATCAAGGTTCTGCACATATTTATTTCTAGTATACATATTTACCACCACTGGCCAAAGACTACATTCTACTCCATTAATCCATATTTAAGTGTCAGCATGCCCAAACCCCTCATAAAGAAAATGAATGAGACCTGCTTCATTTGCACTGGGCTAATGGTGCCCCTTCTACACAAAGGAAACCTGAGTAAATTAGAACCGTGTTCCCTCCTCTACCTGCCACCTGGCATAGCTAAGTTGGTGTAAAATGCCTCTATAATACTACAATATTTCAATTTTCAATATGAGAAACACAAAGTTTTTTTTGAAGGTGAAAGGAGGGTCAGATGCGGTGGCTCACACCTGTAATCCCACACTTTGAGAGGCTGAGGCAGGAGGATCACTTGAGCCCAGGAGTTCGAGACCTGCCTGGGCAACATAATGAGACCTCATCTCTAAAAAAAGCACAATAATAATAATTAATTAATTAATTTTAAAAAAAGGTAAAAGTAGCTAAAAATACCAGTACTTTTATCAAAGAACCCAGGGTCTCATCTACCTGCTTTCTGAATCTAAATTCCAAGGAAATGGAGTACCAAAATCTATGCATTAAGAAAAATTAAATGATTAAAGTTCTTTCTGGCTCTCCCTAATCCTCAGAGATATATTAAAGGAAATGATTGTAAATACCTTCTTTTTTTTGATAATATAAAGATAAGGTATAGAATACTTAATACTTCTGGCAACAAAGGAACTTATTAATGAAATCCGGAAACTTAAAAATGCTTATATTATCCAGTGATCCAATAATTTTCACCCACTTTCTCATCAAAACATTTAATAAAGCAGTTATCTAAAGAATGAAACAAATTCATTCCTTTCTCCTCTGGTAGAGGTCCTAATTGATGATGAAGTGGCCTACAGTTAAGTAGCAGAAAGGAGATAGGAAAGTTAAAAAAAATAGTAATTATATATGTATGTATATATGAAGGACAATATACCAACTGAATAATCACCAATAGAAAGATTAATGAGCTGAAACTACTAACAATGACATATCCAATTGAAAGTGATATGAGAACAGGGAGATTCACATCATTTTAAGTAGTCTATATATTATGCATACATTTTCAAATGGGCATAATTCAGCCTGGAAACAGACTGCTGCCTTGGAATGTTCCTTAAAGTTTCTTCTTGTCCTGAGACTCTAAAAGAAACGCTTTTACAATATGACAAACTTTCACAGGAAAATGCTTTTGAGTAAATGGTCCAAGTCAGATTCTCTTCTTTGGGGTTTATATACCAGGGTTTTGAGTGGAATTGGGGCTTTTCCAAAAGATGCATTCCTTCTCCCATACCAGCCTCTGCTCTTACCTGGCAAACTCCTATTCTTCCTGCACCTGTCAGTTGAAAGGTTACCTCCCACAACCACCTTTCCTGAGCTCTCAGGCCTGAGTTTGAGTCCTATCGCAATGAAACATGGTAGATCATTTTATTCATGAAAATTCTAAGAGCTATTTCCCTCAAGAGAACATATTCAGGGCACGCGGCATCATAACACTCCCAAGAGGCTGCATGTGTTAAACAGGTTACTGGGCTTGGGCTTCAGATGCCTGGAAAAGGAAAAGAAAGGGACAAGGGTGTTTTCTGCCTGATGCATCAGTAAAACCCCTGGGCTGATACTAGGGAAACCCACCACAAAGATCTACATCACTCTCTGATGTTTCTGCAGGCAGACGGGATGGTTCACTTATTTTGTTTTATTTTAGGGGACTCTTGACAGGCAAAGGCAAAAATGACAGGTGTCTCAGAGTTATTTGGATTACATTTTTCCAAGATTTTACACCTAACTGTGAAAGAAAGCTGAACCTTATATTAAAATCATTCCTTTAGAACTGAGAAGAGTAGGTTTTTCATCTTGACTACTGGCTGTTAGACCAAAGGTTAATGGAGTATACATTGCCTAGACATGATGCAGAGGATACAGTAGAACTATTCTAGGTCCAAACTGAGACTCAAACACACACAATACTATGTGACTTTATTAAATTAAGGAAGCCTAAGAAACTCATTTGTAAAGATGCAAAAAGTAAAACCTGATGTTAAACTCACCTCTACAAAACTACCAAATTGAAAAAAGCATACAGAGAGTGGAGTGAAATTGGACTCAAAGCTTCTCCTGCTGCACCTGCTTAGGCATAATAGGCTAGGGATTTGGCTAATGCTACAGGACTTGCAGTAAAACAAGCTTGGCAACCACTCGCAAACCCACTTTGGAGAGAGTTGGTAAAGCATAGAGTTAAGAGCTTGGGCTCTTGACTCAGACCACCTGGGTTTAAATATAGGCTCATCTATTTACTATGGGAATGTGGGCAAGTTGTGTACTCTGCTTAATCTTCAATTTCCTCATCTATAAAATGGGGATAATAATAATAGTTTACTCAAAATACTTTTGTGGAGATTATACAAATATTTAATATGTAAAAAAGTGTCACTTACTAAGCTTTCAATAAATGTTATTTACTATCACTAGGATTACTAGTACTAATAGATACCAACAGAGAAATTTGGGAGGAATATTGTGTCAGGGACAGGAGAAAAGGATTCTGAATCACGTTAGAGTATGCTAGCAAAATAGTTCAGGAAAGAGGAGACCTAGTGGTAAGGAAGTAGCACATATGGGCATCTTTGGGGTCTGCCATTGGCAATTGTCCATGAACTCAAAGCCATAGGACCAATTTCAGAAACAGATTATTTCATGCCTTCCATGGTGGAGAGTAGCTGGGATTCATAAATAGCATCAAATCAGTGTATTGACAAGTAGAGAAAAATATTCTCATTATGAGTTCAGATTGGGAGTACCTTTACAGAGTCACCAACTAAGGGGCTGTGGAGTACAGTTCGAATGTTTCAATAAGTCTCTATAGAAATAATTTACAGCCAAGATTATTCTCAGATTTCATCACACCCTAGAGTGCCTTATGACTTTCCCCTGTTGGAGAATGGCAGCTGAAGAAAAATATGATGGTAAGAATAAATCTGCAAGTGGTCTGAATGATTCAGCATCAAATGGCTAGAATATTTAAACAGAGGTCATTCTGAGATCATTTCAGAGTAGAATAGCCTGTTGAAGAGACAGGAATAGTACAGGGCTTTATACAGGATTCAAATAATGCAGAGGGGATTGGAGGGATGGGATTATGGAAAGAAGTCCAATCAGATATTCAATGATCAACAGTTCAGAGGAGGAAAAGAGATCTGAAAAACAATGAGTTTGTTTTTCTGGAGCAGAGTTCAAGTAGGAGAGTGATGAGAGAAAAGATGGAGAAATAAGACAAAAATCAGCATATTAGATAGCCTTGTATCTGAAGATAAGAAGTTTAGACTTTAATGATAAATGAGGGAAATCACTACACATTTTAGGAAATGACTTTGACAATAAGATGGATAAAGGATACAAAAATTGAAAGCAAAAATGCCCATAAATTTATCAATTTCACTTAGCCTTTCCACCAAAAAAGAATCCTCCTGTCTGAAATCCTGTCATACTTTATCTGTGTCTCTTTTGTAATGAACACTTTTGTATATATCATATTTTGTCTATTAGAGACATCAGAGCTTATTGGTTAAGAGCATGAGCTGAGGGGTCAAGGCTAACTAATTTCAAATTCCAGTACCACTAGGTCCTTAGCACCTATCTGTGCCTTAGTTTCCTTATCTATAAAGTGGAGGTAATATAGAACCTGACTCAAACTGATGTTATGAGGAGTAAATCATGTAACACATGTAAAATGCTAGAACGATGCCTGGTACAGCATAAGTAGTATAGTTAGCAATTATCAATTTTCTTGAGGGCAAGATCTGTGTCACATTCAACATGTATCTCCAAACACAATAGTAAATACTTGATTATTGTTGAAAGAATGAATGGAAAACAATCTAGTGTAGCTAAAGTGGGAATGTGACAGAAAAACCAGCAGGATTTAGCAAACGGTTGAATAAAGACAGTGAGGGAAAAGGTAGATGCAGATGCCCCAGAGGTATCGAACTTGTATGATTGGGAGAATAACAACAGGATTAAGGGAAGCCAGGAAGGGAAGCCATTTTTGAATAAAAAGTCATTGCATGTTTGGTTTTAGATGTCTCAAGGCTAAAATGACAATGAGTCACAGCAGCACTGGAATTCTGAAGAGGAGCAGGAGTGTAGCCATGATCTTAGAAGTCTGCTGCATAAAGGGAACAGCAGAGGAACTTTAAGGATATTGGTTTGTTATTGAGATTTTTTTTCTCTAATTAAGACTACCTTCTCTCCACTGAATTCAAATTAGTTAGGTGGTGTTGTGTTCATATTCATCATCTTATCTAAATCAGCTTAATTGATATAAATTATAGTTGAGTACTAAAAATTACATGCAGTAAAAAATCCATATTTTAAAAGATCATTAAAGAAATTCAACCATTTCATTGGGTTATCCTTATTACTAAGTAGTAAAATATTAAAAATTACAATAATAAAAGATGACATAGAACTTACCCTGAATCACAGAAACAATTCCACAGTCCTTGACCATGATTCCAGAGTAGGCGATTAAAAACCCGGTTGAAAATCCGATACAAATTTAATTCCTCAACATCATGTACCTTCCAGATGCGTGGAAGAACTGTACGAATACTTGTTTTTACTATGTCCAAAACCTAATGGAAAAACCAAAGTACTTAGAATCTAGGTATGTTTTTGTGTATCTAAAATTCAAAGATGAACACACAAACACACACACACACACATACATGCACATAAATTGAACAACAACATAGAATAAAAAAATCCAGAAATAGATCCATGCATCTTTGAAAGTTTGGTATATGACAGAGGTGGAAAGTCAGACCAGAGTAAGAAGAGGCTGTTCAATAAATAGAGATTTTAAAATAATAATTTTTATGGAAAAGAATGGGCGAAGTTGAATCTGTACCTCATTAAATTAAAAAGAAGCAACTCTAGATGGGTTAAGGCCTTACATGTTAAAAAATAAACCATCAAATATCTTGGAAAGTGTAGGTGAATATCTTTTAGACCTTGGATTAGATAAAGATTATTTAAGTCACAAAAAGGTATGGACTATAAAAGATTGATAGATTTTGATAAATTAAGAACTTCTGGTCATTAAATATACCTTAAAGAAAATAAAAGACCAACTTACGAATGGAGAAAATATATTCAAAACATATATATCCAACAAAAGATTAGTATCAGGAATATATAAAGAATGCTGAACAAATTTTTAATATAAACCACTTAATATGAAAAAAATGGAAAAAATTTATGAATAGGCATTTCACAAGAAGAAATAAATATACCTAATACACATAAAGAATAAAAATTAAGGCAATAATAAGATATAATTTCATATCCATTTAATTGGCAAAAATTAAAAGTCCGACAATAACAAGTGCTGGAGAGGACACGGATCTACAGGGTCTCATAGACATTGTTAACATGAGTACAAGTTGGAGGCAATTGCTCTGGAGAACAGTTTGTTATTATCTCCTAAAGTTGAAACTTCCTAAGCCCTATGGCTCAGCAATCATATTCCTAAGACAAGCTCTCATAGGTAAAAACAGGAGGCGTGTATGATAATGTTCATAGCAACTGTTAACAATCGTAATATCTAGAAACAACTAACCCTTCAACAATGGGAAAGTGGGTAAATACACATGGTATACTCATCCCCTTTGGACTATTATACAGTAGTCAAAATGAATGAAATACGACACACAACACAGAGCATCTTTGTAATGTAATGGTAAATTTAAAAAGTACATACCAGAGATAACATAGAGTAAGACACCCTTTTAATAGAAGTAAAACAACTAAATTTAAAAAACACGGAGAACACACACAGGTATAATAAAAAATATATAAAAAAAGAAAGCAAGGGACTGGTGAACCCTGAGTTCAAGAGAATGGCTACCTGAGACAGGGGGAGCCAGGGAGATGGAGGGGAAGAAGCATTTGGTTAGATACAGGTTATTGCCAAGACCCTAGCTGTTGATTTGGGTGTTGGGTTCACAGGTGGTATGATAACCTTAAAAACACTAAGTAAAAGCAGCAGGCCATACACAGACCAATAATGAGAAAGTATCATGAAATGAGGACTCTGATCAATCTGGACAACTGAAATCCTAGAGGTCCTAAAAAATTTGTAATCCCCAAAAAACTACTTTGTCTAATTCACGTGCATTTGATACTCATGCATTGCAAGTATTTCACAAAAGTGTAAAAAAGTAAATACCAACAAATACAGTTATTCTTAGATCACCAAAGTGGATTTTTTCCTTTTTGTTTTATCTGTCTAATTATGGGAACTACCTATAAAAATAAGAATGAAAGATGAAGAGGGAAAAAGACTAGACTTTCAAACATAAAGGCTGAGTGAAAATATGATTTCTCTCAACAGACAAAAGCATGAAGAATTGGAAGCAGATGAAAGAATAATCTGTTTCTCTTTAAAAGAGCAATATTTAAAGAAGTGATACTGGTTCTCTCTGATCAAAGCCAAATTTAGAATAAACATCTGTTTAAAAATAAATTTAGTAAAAATATTGTCAAAATGACATTTTATTTATAGAAGAATACCAGCTACGGTTTCTTGCAATGAATTGTGCGAGCAGCATCCCTCCTTCCCTTCCTGTTCCAGCTTCCTGCGCTGTGAAGTGGGAGCAGGTCAGGGTGTGTCAGGTGAAGGGGAGGGGAACGCGGAGGGGTAATGCAATCTGCAATAGTCTGTGAAAAGCATTGTCCTGGAAAGGCTCATTATTACAGATAAAGAATGCTTAATTATAAAGAGGAATTTTTAAAAGAACTTTAATATGAATTATTCACAATAATACTGATATAATATGCATATTAGGCATTAATTCATGCCTTTTTATTTTTTATAATTTTCATTTATTAGTTTCACTCTTTATATTTTTTACTGTAGAAAGCAGTACTCATGACTCATGTGATATAAGAATCAACACTAGATAAATGATAAATTTAAAACATTTTTCTTTTCTTAATTTTTGTATTTTCTGTCCATGTGTTAGTGAAAAATAACAGGCTAAAAGTCCTATTGAAGGAAGGAAAGAATAAAAAAGTAGCCAAGATAACCCATAAACTAGCCTCAGGAATAAATATGAGTTATATAAAGTAACTGAAATTAAAAAGTGTTATCAATACCGAGAATTTTAACATTACCTTGCATTAATCAGTTTTCACGTTATATTATGAAATAATTGTTTAACATGATCAAATGAAAATGTGTTTGAGATTATGGGGTATTCATACATTTCTCTTTAAATACACTTCAAGAGCAACTAATAAATACTGGCTGCCTGCTCTGTGCCAAGCACTGGGTTGGATATATTACTTAAAGGAGACTCTCTTGGTCACTGCTCTGTATATATCTTCTTCTTAATTTAGAGGGAATTTTAAAAGCATGATAGTCTAATATCCTAGCCCACATATGAGTAAAAGCAGCAATTTCAGAATGGGGCCAGGGAGTTCAGGATGGGAACTGTTCCTGCTCCACTCCTAAAGTTTCCTCCAATACAGAAATGGAAAAATCTTCAGGCAACTTTGTACCCCACCAAGCACCTCTGCCTAAGAAGTGATTTCCCAGATTGGAGAGACAGGCATGATCTGGGCAATCTGGGTGCTTCTCCTTCCTTTGCAGAGCCATCCACTGGGACATGCGCACCCCTTTGCTTCTCTTTGCCTTCAGTTTTCCAGGAGCCTCCCCAAGAAGGCAAGCTCTGGGCTTGGGGAGAGGAGTGGGTTAGGGAGACCCACACCTATAATTTGGAGGCATGAAGAGACATAAACGAAGTGAATGGGAACTCAAATCCTTCATCTCTCCTCTGCATCTTCACATAAGCTCTTTCCCTGTCTGGAACAGTCTTCTCCTATGTCTTACCTCGAACATCACTTCTTAGGAAGAACTTAGCTGCCACTAAACTACTGAATAATACCTTAGTGCCCAGTTCTTCCTCTCTTTACAACCATCTCATTTTATTTTAATTTCCAGTTTAATCAATGGAGACTATTATCTACATAAAAGAATGAATTATGCCCATCTTGGTAGTAAAGTTACCATGTCTCCAAGGCTTAAGACAATGTCCAGCACTTAGTAGGTGCTTGTCTCAGTGAGTTATTCTTTGAAGAGAGAGAAAGAGAGAGAGAGATCCAGCAAAAAAGGCCAGTGTAAGCATGCTTTCTTTAAAAAATAATAATAATAGAAAAGCTTTCTCATCTGATTTTTCTCTTCTTCTATTGCATTCCCCTCTGTGATGAGCACTTTTGTAACTCAGACAATTAAACTCAACCAATTAAACACTACAGTTTGAACCTACTGCAGGGTAGAATTAGTATATGATTCTGCAAATAATCTCCAAACTACTGTTTTGCCAAAGATTTACGTTAAATATTTGCTAGAAATAACACAAAACATGTAATTCACTTTTCTGACTAACATATCAAGCAATGCAAACATTATAGAGCAAAGAAAAATAAGGAAAATCTTAAGAGAAAGAAAGAAAGAAAGAGAGAGAGAAAGAGAAATCTATGCACACAAGGTAAAAATCAGGGCTAACACTTAAAGAGAACTTACTATGTGCCAAGTACCGTTCTAAGTACTTTTACATATATTAACTCATTTAATCCTTAAAACAAAAACATGAGGTATTGGTCCACTGTCCCTTTCCAAAAATCTGAGGCTAGATTCCATAATCACAAACATTAATACTTATGCAGAAAAAAATGTAAATATTCAAACCAAGAGATAGACAAAAACAATACATAACTTCTTGTCAGGTCACTGTCACTAAATCAGTTAAGGTGGGTTAGTTTTGCTGCCCAGTGGTTACAAAAATTTGGAGGGTTGTGAAAACATTTTAGATCTCCATTTTATGGATGATAAAACTCAGGCACAGAGCAGACAAGTAACTTGCCCAGGATCACACAGCTCGTGAAGGGGACAGCTGTGCATCCAGACTATGCTCTTAACCACTACCCAACACTGCCTCACAATGTTGTCTTTCCAGATGCCAACAGCAAAAGCCTGGAAGAGAACCCAATTGTCTCTTCTTGGATTCAGATTTGCCTCTGGTCAAATGGTATTTGGGAAGCAGGGTGGGATCACTGTGCACAAACAAGGCTGCCTAGGCACCCCTCCATCCTATGGACTAGTTTGCTTACAAGGCTATACAGATGGGGAGACAATGACTGCACTTTTAGCAAGACACCCACTGAATAATTTTAAGAAAGCAGAGAGCAGGCAGGCAAGAAATCAGGCTGGGATGAGGTAAATTCATGCCAGTTCTATTTGTGATGCTTTTTCGGATTTCTGGTGCTTTGGGGTTAGAAGAATTTGGGTGGAAGATGATTAATTTTGGAAACACAAAAATAAATGGTCAGCAAGGTACCCTTGTGTTTATGTATGGGCTCAAGTGAGGCTAACTTATAGAATATAGGTATCCATTTCCTTACATTATGACTTTTAAAAGCATCCCAATCCAACATTAAGCTCTCCGAGGGAAAAAATAAGTGGGAGATCAGTCAATGACAACATTAATAAAATGAAAAGATTTGTCTTTTCCATATGAAATACAGCACATTCGAAGGCATAAAGCACACAGACAAATTCATATTTTGCAAG